TCACGTATGACTGACTACTTTGAGAATGATGAGCGACTGTGAAATTATTGTTCTGTGGATGTCTGTCAGTACATCAGCACCTGGTAAATCTGATGAAATTTTTCACCTGGCTGGTGTTCTGCCATTTCTGGGAATAGAATTTATTTTCCCAGCTTGGCTCATGTAATTCAATACAACTATATCTTGTACTTTCCAAAAATATAGTACATAGAACTTTTCTGCAGAAGAACCTACAGTAGTAGTGAGATACAGTAGGCTAACAGGGTTGGGGGCGGGGGGGCACTTATCTCCAGTGCCAAGTTAGGAGGGGTGCTGAAATTCCTGTGGAGCCCATGCCATAGCAATATACCCATGCTGGGAACTCCAGAGTAGTCCAAAGCTGCTGCTGCTACTGCTGCTGCTTCAAAAGCAACAGCTGGGGTGGGCAGAGTATGAAGCAGTGGCAGCAGCAGCTCACTTGGGGACTGCTTAGGAGTTTCGACCATGGACTAGACTGCTGTGCCTTCCTTGCCTTCACTCTCAGAACCTGTGCCCCCCCTCCCACTCTCCTGCAGGGTTTGTCCCAGGTTCCAACTCTGCTTGTTATGCCACTGGTGAAGGGCATGCTATTTCATGGATTTCATAGATTTCATAGACATTAGGGCTGGAAGGGACCTCGTGAGATCATTGGGTGCAGTTCCCTGCACAAGGGGCAGGAAGTCAGCTGGGGTCAGATGACCCCAGAAAGATAATCATCCAAATGCTTCTTGAATGTGTCCAGAGTAGGTGCTTGCACCACTTCTGGAGAAAGTCTATTCCAGACTCTGGAGACTCAGACAGTAAAGAAGTTTTTCCTTATGTCCAGTCTAAAATGGTCTTTCAGCATCTTGTGACCATTGGACCTTGTCTTCCCTTGGGGTGCCCTGGTGAACAGACATTCTCCCAGATCCTGATGTACACCCCTAATATATTTATAGGCTGTTACCAAGTTCCCCCTGAACCTACGCTTTTCCAAGCTGAAGAGTCCCATGCCTCTCAGCTCCTCCTCAAGGCCTGCTCTCTTGACCTCTGATCATGTGCATGGCTCTACTCTAGACTCTCTCAAGCTTCTCCATGTCCTTCTTAAAGCCTGGATCCCAGAACTGCATGCAATGCTCCAGCTGTGGCCTCACCAAGACCGAATAAAGTGAGAGGATGACATCTTGGGTCTTGCTTGAGATGCATCGGTAGATGCAAGCCAGAGTTTTATTTGCTTTGCCGGCTGCAGCATCACATTGGTGGCTCATATTCATCTTGTGGTCAATCATGACCCCCAAGTCTCTTTCAGTCATAGTGCTAATGTGTGTAGCACTGCCGAGCCTATAGGTATGATGTGGGTTCTTTCTCCTGGGGAGGAGCACCTTGCATTTCTCTATGTTGAAAATCATCGGGTTTTGATCTGCTTGCTTTGTGAGCCTGTCCAAGCCGGCCTGAATCCCCAGCCTATCCTCTAGTGTGACTGCACTTCCCCATAATTTGGTGTCATCTTCAAACTTAACCAGTCCACTTCTGACACCTGAATCCAGGTTGTTTATAAATATGTTAAAGAGTACCAATCCAAGTATTGAACCCTGAGGGATGCCACTGGTCACCATGTGCCATGTTGGCTCAGTTCCATCAACTATCACGCTCTGGGTCCGACCACAGAACCAGTTCCCCAGTCATCGGATCATAAGGTTGTTGAGGCTGCAGTTCCCAATGTTGTCATGAGGACATCATGGGAGACCAAATCAAAGGCTTTTTTGAAATCCAAGTAAATGACGTCAGCCTCTCCTCTTTGGTCCAGGTGATGTGTCACCTGGTCATAGAAGGAGATGAGGTTAGGCAGGCACGACCTATCCATAATGAAGCCATGTTGGCTGTCTCTCAGGATGATGCCTTCTGTTAGCTTATTGTTGATGGATTCTTTAATAATTTTTTCCATGATCCTTTCAGGGATTGAGGTCAAACTGATTGGCCTGTAGTTCCCTGGATCTTTCTTACTTCCTTTCTTAAAGATAGGCACCACAATTGGCCCTCTTCCAATCTTCAGAAACCTCTCCTGAGCACCATGAGTTCCTAAATATCCTTGCCATTGGTCACGCTATGATGTCAGCCAACTCTTTTAGCACTATTGGTGCATTTCAGCAGGGCCCACTGATTTATGGATGTCCAGCCTCTCAAGGTGTTACCTCACAAGGTCTTCACCAAATGTAGGCATGTGGTCACCTGTGCCCTTGTAATCCTGTGTCCTGTCGGGTAGGATGATGCCCTAGGGATGGTGAAAAACTGAGGCAAAGTAATCATTAAGGGGATTAGTTTTTTCCTGGGTCGAATATCAGCTGCCCCATTTGGTTCAGCCGGGGTCCAATGTTGCCCTTATTTCTCTTTCAACTTCCCATGTATCTGAAGAAGGACTTTTTATTATCCTGGATTCCTGTATGAACTTGTTTTTTTCCCTTGTCTTGTCCGCTCCCTACAGGTGCAGGCCAGTGATGCATAGTCCTCCTTAGAGGTATTTCCCACCTTCCAACTCTTATAGGCTTTTCTTTTAAGATTCAGGAGGTCCATGAGCTCCCTGTTGAGCCAAGGGGGATTATGATCTTTCAGGGCCTCAACAACTAACCTCCTGAGCTTATGAAAGTCAGCTTTCCTAAAGTTGAGGATTTCTGCATTGCTGACTGATTTGCCAGCTTTGCGATGGATAGAGAAAGTGATCAACTCATGATCACTGTCAGCAAGCTTCTTTTCAAACCTCAGGTTGCTCACTAGATCATCCCCTTTGGCCAGAACCAGTTCTAGCAGCGCCTTACCCCTTGTTGGCCTGTGGACATCTTGAGCTGATAGAGCTTGTCAATGCAGGTGAGAAAACTTTGCAACCGATCAGATTTAGCTGAATGCTCTTCCCATCAGATATAAGGGTGGTTGAAGTCATCCATGATGACCATGCACCAAGAGTGTGCAGCCTCTGCTAGTTCCCCAGAGAATTCATGGTCGAGCTCTTCCTCCTGGTTAGGTGGTCTGTAATAGACTCCTCCAGTAATATTCCCCTTCACCATGTTCTCTTTATATTCTAACCCAGAGTGTTTCAAGTCGCCCTCCTTGGGTGCCAATGTCAGCTAGTATGGAAGTGTACTGCTCCTTGACGTAGAGAGCTTCACCCCCACCCTTCCTCCCAACATGGTCCCTCCTGTACAAGGTACAGCCATCTATACCCGTGTTCCAGTAATAGATGGAGTCCCACAAGGTCTCCACTCTCCCTATGAGATTATGTTTGTTATTGCTTAGCAGAAGGGTCAATTCCTCCTGTTTGCTCCCCATGCTCCTGGCATTTGTGTACAAGCAGCTAAGCCTTCCTTCAGAAGCCCTAGGCTTCTTTGTGCATTTAGGAGAGTCCTGTACTTAGGCTGGTGTTGGAGTAAGTTCAATTGCAATTCCTGACCTGCTGATTTATGTGTTTGTCACTTCCTGGGCTTGCTCTGATGGTTGTCTACCCGGCCCCCGGCAATCTTAGTTTAAAGCTCTGTCAAGCAGGTCAGCCAATCCAGTCAAAAAAAGCTTCTTTCCCATTGGGGTGAGGTGGAGGCCATCTCTTCCTAACAGACCACTGCCTCTGTCTCTGAGGTGTGGACTGTGATTGAAGAAACCAAAGCCTTTGTGTTGGCACCAGTGCCTCAGTCTTCTGTTTACTTCATTGATACATCTCTCCCTCCTGTGCCCATGACCTGTAACTGGGAGGGTCGAGGAGAAAACCACCTCTTCCCCCAACCCTCTGAGCCCAGCCTCCAGAGCCCTGTAGTCACTCATGATCTGGCCAGGATTGCTCTGAGCTGTGTTGTTTGTGCGCACATGGATAAGGAGCATGGGATAGTGGTCAGAGGGTCGGACAAGTTTAGGGATTTTCTCTCAGCTACATCCCGGATACAGGCCCCTGGGAAGCAGCAGAACTCCTGGGCTAAAAAGTCAGGGAACCAGATCGGGCCCTCTGTTCCCCTCAAGAGGGAGTGTCTCACAAGGACCACTCTGCATCTCTTCCTATGTGTGCCTGCTGGTCGCTTTCCTTCCTCAAGTGCTGGAGCCGGTGACTCTGCTGGCTCTGCTGATGTTGCGAGGGGTTCGTATCTGTTGTGAAGTTCTAGGGGGTGGTGACCCTGGTGCAAGTTGCCTTGGGGCTAAAAATGACTTTTGTCCAAGCGACCCCCGGCTGGACTTCATGGGGACTTCTTTTGTCCGCCCTTGTCCTGCTAGCCTTCCTTGTTCTTCCTTCCTCATTCTTCAGGCAAAGAGCCTGGTGGTAGGCCTTGATCTCCTCTTTGCCATCCCTGATGGTATGCAGCCTTTGCACTGCAGCCTGGAGGTCCCCTATCTGGCACTCCAGGGACTCTAGTGTGAAGCACACTCCACAAGGGGAGGTGTCTTTGCTCCTGATCTCATTTGCCTGCATTCGAGCCAGGCAGCCACCCACAGCCGAGAGCCAGGGGCTGCGTCTGGGTGGAGCCCGGAACCAGGGGCTCCGTCTGGGTGGCCGTCTCTGAGGTGCGGGGGGATTTACTCTCCATATATGGGGGGAATTACTCTCCATATTTCTAAACTGCAACACAGACATACCAGGAGCCATACCAGGAGACATACCACTAAAGAAATGTGTAATAAGCAAGGTGAAGACATTTGTTTAGTAAAGACAGTATTTTTTTGTTTTTCTAGCTAGTTTCTAGAGTTACACAAAGTTCTCTTCTCTGATTAGCAGTTATGCTTGTTCTATAGACAAAACTCAGCTGACATCAGTGGGAGTTTGATACCTGACACAATTTTGTAACCAATCTGCAGTGTAGGCAGGCAAGGCTTTTTATGTTGTTTTTAATAGCTGTTATGGTAAATAGCACATTTGAGAACAAAAAATTGTTATAATCCTATCAGATCAACATGTTTGATGGAGTCCTATCATTTAATGCTTCATTCTGTGTTCTTTCAATTCTAGATTCTTGAAGAAAACATGAAATTAGAGTGCAAATGTCATGGAGTATCTGGATCTTGTACTACTAAAACATGCTGGACAACCCTTCCTAAATTCCGGGAGCTGGGCTACATCCTTAAGGACAAATACAATGAAGCAGTTCAGGTTGAACCAGTGAGGGCAAGTCGAAACAAGCGTCCAACCTTCCTTAAAATAAAGAAGCCGTTGTCCTACCGCAAACCGATGGATACAGATTTAGTGTACATAGAAAAATCTCCAAATTACTGTGAAGAAGACCCTGTCACTGGCAGTGTGGGAACACAGGGAAGAATGTGCAACAAAACAGCTCAGCAGTCCAATGGCTGTGATCTGATGTGTTGTGGTCGAGGCTACAACACTCACCAGTACTCGAGAGTATGGCAGTGCAATTGTAAATTTCATTGGTGCTGCTATGTTAAGTGTAATACATGCAGTGAAAGAACAGAAGTGTATACCTGTAAATGAAAGTGTGGCTGGGGAGGATGACGAGCTAGATCCCTGGGAATGAATACATTTGCACATGAGTTCAACATACCTACGCAAGACTGTAGCAAAAAAAACTTACTCTCTTCCAGAACAAAAGATAACAAACAAATTCCTATCTTTTCCGCTTGTATTTCAGTGCTTATGTGGATACACATTTAAGACCTGTACAAATCAGCCAAAAAAGAACAAAAACTAAGCAAGTCACCTACCCACAGAATAAGAAACAGAAATCATCTCAAATAATCTGCACTTCTAAAGCTTAACGCATTGACTGCTGTATGAAAGGAACATGAGTCAAATGAAATATCTCTAAGTTTGGAAACTGCTTTTGCTTGGAAAAAGATGGTTAAATATACAAGTGTCCATAAATAAGGGGGCAGGGTAGGGTGGGAGAAATGAAACAAAACCTTAAAAATGGCCTTTGCACAGAATGGGGTGGACAATACCCCAGTGTGGATTGCTACTGAAGAGTGTGGAGTATGCAGATTTAGGTTTCTACAGTTTTGAAAAGCTTCTGCTGGTCTTGCCTATCTTTCCATTTCACACAGTTTGCTACAGCAAGTAGAACTGTTGACGTTTTTCCATAGACACTGGTTTATCTGCTTTCTTTTTTTTTTTTTTGTGCTGCAGATTTTAGCAAAGGGATTGGGACATCTGGGCAGAATAATAGCAATATTTAACAATTTATTCAGATAACTAATATTAATTTATTTAATTAAAGAAGAACTCTACCAACATTTTTGGAACTATTCTGCAATTAAAGTAGATAGCTTGCTTTCTTTGTGGAATAATTTTGTAGATACGGCAAGGAAAAAACTGGAGCTGTATATATTATTCTTTACTTGGATATTTCTACTAGTTGGATTTGCAGGATATTTTCTGCAGTACTAGATGTTTAAGTACAAAGGCAGGCATCTTTTATATATTTTTTGCTGTTTGCTGCTAGTTGTCTGGAAACATCAACCTGGTAAAGATTATGATATCTTTACTAATACTCTTTTTTTCCAATTAAAAAGGAGCATAATGAAAATCCGCTTTGGAATACATCAAAAATAAATATGAAACTCCAGACAAACTTCCACGTTTTGGAAAATGAACCATAGGATAAGAGAGTATATTTTGTAAGAGACTATTTTTATATGAATATTTTATTTATACTATGTCTGCTTGTATAATTCTATAACCTGTACTTTTTCTCAGAACAGGCATTCAATTTGTAACTCTTAGGCTATTTAACAGAGAAAGGTTGATTAGTTCGTGGACTGAACAGCAGCAAGCTGTGGTTAGTAGATGTGTCAAAAATGCAGAATGAACTCTCTCTCCGGATGTGTGTACAAACTGGCTTTTTTCTGTAGTTCAATCTGCAGAATATGCAAAACAAGAACAGGGTATGTAGCATCAGTTTTGTCACATGGCTTGAATTCATGATTGGTATTAACTGAATGCTCATTTATCCCATTCAGAAAAAAAAATCTGAATTAGCTTCCCACATGCGTCAGTCATTAAACTGTGGCATTATGACTAGCAAATGTGCTGTGTGTGCTGTCAGTTAAATCTCTATATTGTGTTACTGTCAAATTTGATTTTATCAATGGAAGACTGTAGACTATGACTGTAAAAACTAGCATGACACACATTGTCTGATTCTCACAGATAAGATACAAAGCTTACAATTTTGTCCAACAGTTTTTGGCATTTGCCTTGTTCTTTCCTCAAAAAGTCTTGGGTTATAAAGCCCAAACCCCATGTAGTCAAACCTTAAACAACCTGTTTTTCCAAAGCCCCATTAAGGTCTCTGTTTATTTCCTTTCTTAGTGCCTCCAGTTTCCTCAAACATTTGCAAGTAAATAAATATTCCTCCCATTTTGAATCTTTCTGCTCCTACCTAATCCTTTTGGGGCCTGACCAGACAGTTTTGCTTTCTAATGGTGAGTTTCCTTGGGTAAGGAACAGAGGCTGGGGCTCTTAATTGCTATGGCATGTTCCACAGTTTGGGACAGGGCAACCTCTTCCATAGGTGAGAAGTGCAAGATCATACCCAATCCAGTAATTTGAGAGGGCAGACAAAGAGGGAAACCAACAAATTCAGTAGTTATCTGTGTTCCTTAGTGACTCCCACTGAGAGCAATACATATTGGGATGAATAGAGAATAAGCAGATTAGCAATGGGTCTGATCCATCGACTTAACTGGAGGTTTTGCTTTTGTTAGAACAGCAAGACTGGGACCCGTGCTGAGAAAAGGAAAAATGGAAGCATTACAAGCCCTTTTATGGGTTTCTGATCCAGTAATGTATTTTTTAGAAGTTGCCTCAATGTGGCCTGTTTTTTTTTTATCCCCCCTCATTAAAAATAAAAATAAAAAAGGAAAACCCCCAAACCATGCAATACCTGCTCCTCACAAGGTACAATTATGATTGAATACATAGTGTTTCTTTCCAAACCTACTACTCACCACATAATATGCAGTTTTACAGTAATTCAAATACCAGTATGAGATATCAAAGTAAAAGTCAGATAAAATTAACACAGTATACTTTCAAGCTTATGACTTGTCATTATTTAATCGTTTTAAGGTAGTATATTAAAAAATGAGTTTATACTTTTGGATTTCTAAATTCTGTGTACTAAAGCTCAATAACGAAACGTAAAACTCAATAAAACATGCAATGTGGAGGTTAATTACAATTGTATAATCTGGTTTAATAATGCACATCTCTGACATATTTGGTTGATTTTTTTCTTTAATAATATTCATTGGTTTTCCCTATCTGGATACGCACCACAGTTGTAAGTTTGTCATTCTTCACTGATTACTGCTACTTTATGAAGTGTTAATTTTGCAGTCTGTTTTTTTTTCAACCATAGGAAAGTATTCTGTAAAACTGCTGCTTCCTGTATATTTTGATGCATAGGTGATGCACAGTGTACAACTAGCACATTAACTCTTAAAGGACAGATTTCTTTAAACAGTTTTACTCAATAATAAAGAACTGGATACACAATGAAAATCTATTTATTTTTATTGCAAACTAGAAAAGATCAAGTAACCAATTCTTAAATGCTTTTCGAAAGAAATATTCTCATAAATTTAATATTTCCATTAAAAATATGGGGACTTACACTGACTTACATTTGCTATATTTTTTGTGTTCCACATAACAAGGAGAGTGATTTATTTTGGATGTGGAATCTCAAGTTGGGTTACCGCATGTGAAAAGGACCATACAACTTTAAAAAGGAGGGAAATGTCTTGCTGCAGCTTCCTAAAAATGTTTGAAGATTTGGCTGTGTCTTCCCAGATAAGAGAAATCTGGCTCATCTGAGTCCATCCTGGATCTGGAGTTAATTGGCCATGTGTTTGAATGGCATAAAGAATAAATGGGAGAAAGAGAAAGATTTACGATTTTGTAGATATTTGTTCTCCAAACAGTTTGTTCTTTGTCTTAAGGAATAGAAGAGCTCTGTTTTTACTTGGTGAAGAACTGCACAACGAAAGTGAAATGCACACAGCTAAGAACAATACAGCCCTCAATAGAAAATACATCTTTTTATCTCTGCTAAATGAGCGGAGTGTCAGATTGATGTTCACATTAATAACCTGGATATGTTCGTAAAGCAAACATACATTAAATATTTGAAAATAGGGAGAAAGTTAAGAAAAACATTGGAACCAGCGTAATTTGTTTCAGCACTGTGTTTTACAACATTTCGTTTCACTATTCTCTTTAAAATTGGAAGCCTATTTCAAAGGGGTTAAAAGGCTACCTGTAGCAATCCAGAGAAAACTGCAAAGGACTTTAATTGAAGTATTTCACTCCATGGCCTTTTTAAAGGTGGTAACAATCCTGATCTCGGTCAGCTTGCATACTTGGTACAATACCAGCATACAACAAGAATCCATCAATGACTAAGTTTTCTTTGCCATGTTTGCACACAACTAATGGAGACATGTCTTTCAACAGTAATAATTAAACTGAAAACCTCCCTTAAATGTATGCTTAATTGGCTTATTTGGCAAATGGCAAGATTGTTCTGAGCTTACCAAGTTACGAGAAAAAGGAAAAAGTATGTATGAAGCATCTCATAAGCTTAAGATTTAATGGCCTATTTTGGGAAATATAAAACTGCTTTAACCAAAACCACTTTGCAAAGCCTGTTATCATGGTTGCATTTAAAAATGGGGTAGGGTGTAGTTTCTGTCTGGATGGAAATTCAGCTTACATACCTCAGATAATATTTGCATATTTAAGTAATTATGGTAGGCACATAAAGGACACACAAATCAGTGAAATGACAAAGCAGTGCATAGGTGTACTTGGTAGCTGTGTTGGTCTGAAACAAGAAGACATACAAAAAACTAGAACTCTTGTTTCAAAAATGATACTTTTTATTGGATCAACTGGGAAATTGCAAGAAAACTGTCCTTTTCTGCAAGCTTCCGGGATCAAAGTTTTCCTAGTCAGGCTCCGGGAAAAGTATAGATGGTACAAGATGGTAAAAAGTCCACATGGGTAGGAAATAAACTTCATTTTTGCACAGAGGGAGCTGAAGATGGAAGGCTGTCCCTCTGGGTCCATGAGAGTGTCTTTGTGAGCGGTGTTGAGTAGCTCTTTGATGTGTAGAACAGGTAGAATTCATACACACACAGATGTATGCTCCTAATAAGATGAGCTGCACAACCACATACCCAAAAATCTGTTGTTGCTAGGAGGACAAATCTGCTGAACATATGTTTCCAAACTTGTCTGGAATTGGAATAATCAGCTTCTACCCTATGTGTAAACTGTCAGCTACTGGGTTTCCAGCATACTTCCATGAAGTGCGAGCTGAGATGTGGCTTGTAATATTTAAGAAACTGCACCAGATATTTCCATTTCTCATACATTTTGACTTCTTGGCAGTGAATTAATTTACATAATTTTCCTAAATTCTAAAACACTCTTCCTTACTATAGGAGTGCCTCAAGCAGCTTTCCGAA